TATACAATTCGTAAACGTAATAATGACAATTTATTTGCTAATGATAAATCATATAGTCTTTACCGTTTAATTAAAGTTTCAATTCCACAAGAATTTCTATTTCTAAGAATAGCCAGTTTTAAGGCAAAATTTAATATTTGCGGTATGTTCACTAAGCTTGGTATATATACCGAGTACACGGCCGACGACACGTGTTTCGAAGTGGGGGGGGGGGGGTACACAATCGTCAATTTCAAAAAAAAGTTTTGTATATCTAAAATTTTCTCAAAAAAAAAAAAAAAAAGTCCTTTAAAAAAAAAGTATTTAAAAAAAAAGTAAGGGACGTGCTCCCCGGCCCCCCGGTGTTGTCAGCCCTGGGGTATGAGGTCTGTGCTTCTTACAAAGGTAATAATTTTTTTTGGATGAAATGCATATCTAATTTTGCATAGTGACAATTTCTGTTTGGTAGTTACAGTTGTTATATTTGTGCTGTTACACTATATTTAATATGTGCTATTACACTGTGTTTAGTATATGCTATAACAATTTATTTAGTATATAAGATCAATGTTTTTTTTATGAAAAGTATACTTTTATCGTATAGTCGAGATGAACCACATTTGCATAGCGACAAGTTTTTCTGATTAAAAATAATTGATAGTTTGTTTCGTAATAGTGCCATGTGCTCTAAACTTGACCGTATAAAAATATGTAGTCAATGCTCTTATGAAGACAATGTTGGTTTAAAACAAATAATAGTATTATTAAAATAAAATAAAGCTTAGTTAATAGTTAAAAAGAGCTCATTATTGTATATCAGGATAACGTAATAGTTCCAAACTCTAACTTCCTTAAAATCGGAATAAATTAATACAAAGTCTTTTTTCAAGCTGCCTCTGAAATTATTTAAAATATTAATATTATTCTTTCCATTATAAGATATCAGTGTATTAAAATTTAGTTTTTAAATATATTGACTGGTTGAGCTATCAAATTCAGCATTGCAATACAGTGTTGTTTTATCAAACTCCCAAGATAGTGTTCTTTCTGTAATTTTAATTGTCTTTTTTGTGTTTCATGCTTAATAAGCAATCATTAAAGCCTACAGTTACCTATCAGTAGATTTGACAAATAATCTACCCAGTCGTCCGGGGAACGTCCGTCCTATGTCTTACGGATGTCCTTGACACGCCCACCGGACGCGCTCCGGACGACGCATGCCTACCGGGTGACAGTACTTTTCAAAGTTTAAGAACTATCTTCAGTCGCTCTTTCGAAATCTCCCTCGTCAAACCGTTTACTATACTTTTTACTTTAATTTTACAGCAATTTGATTGCAACTCAACGTTTTCAAACGTAAAATGTTCATCACATTTTTTTTTGTAAGAGTTAGGCAAAAATAAAAGTAAAATCTTCTGCCAGCTCCAGCTCAACTTTAATGTTATATTTTTATGTTGTAAAAACATTGTAAAAGATTATTTTGTAATGACGAAATAAATGAATAAATAATAAAAAACCCTTTTTAAAGATGCTAATTTTTTATATGTTGTTATTATTCATATTAAAAGCTTAATTCCAAAATTTTTGCAAAAAATGTCGTTGGATTTCTAGATAATGGATTTCAAAGTTTGACAAAATTATATAAAAAAAATTGACCAAAATTTAGTCGAATGAATTTTAAACTTGAAATTAGAACAAATTATAAACTTTCCAATGGGTATTTCAATAAGAATTAACGTAATGAGTTCGAAGAAAACTAAATAGGTAGGCAATATTACGAAATTGGAGATAGAGTTAAAGTGCTGTACAACAACTTTTCAGTTAAACCATCAATTGACTTTCTTGTTCCATTCACAAGAACTGAAAGAAACATTCAGCAAAAAACTCTGGGAGGTAAAGAAATAATAAACTATGAAATAACAAAGGATATTTAGGCAACGTTTGCAATCCTGTGTTAAATAGTTGCTCAACCTTCAGTATTAAAATTACTATCCTATAATTTATATTCCTATTTTAAAAAAAGTAGGAATATAAATTATATTCCTACTTTTTAAAAAGTAGGAATATAAATTATAGGATAGTAATTATATAGTAAATTACTAACCGTAGTAATTTACTAAATAATTACTACGGATAGTAATTTACTACTACTATCCTTTTTGAAGCACAAAACGGATAGTAATAGTAAATTACTATCCGTTTTGTGCTTCAAAAAGGCCCGACATTCAGAACTAAATAGCTACACACAAGACTCGTAATGCTATTATTTTTTCAAAGTTATTGTTGTTTCAGTCTGCTGTGCATTCAAAAAAGATTCATGTAAGTACATTGTCTACATTAAATTGTTTAAACGTTTATACAAGGGGTACAACCTGCAGCTCGCAAGCTTCGTGATTTTTCTATGTCAAGATGAAGCTCTTCAGCTGCATCTTGACATCGAAATATTATTATCTTGACATGCACAAATATTAGTATAATCAAAGATGCGGAGTCCCAAAAGGACTTCGGTTTTATATCTCTGTTTTTTACTGGTCTCTGGTGTCCAAAAACTCTGAACATGTTGATTGATTTATGATCTGCTAAATAAAAAAAACTCATGAAATTTAATGACTTGAAACATATAGTTTTTAAGCCCGGAGTCCCAGAGTCCTAGCCGCCATTATACCTAAGGACTCCGGGTTTAATAAGAGATTGTCCCTCTAACTAAAAGTCTTACCAATAGTAATCCATAAGCGTTTTTATATTATTAGAGCTCCTGGATAACAAAAAATAGGAAGCTGTAATCTTTTTGTGATATCAGGAGTCCTTTTCGGGACGCATCCCTAAATATAATATTAAAATAAAGATGTTGATAGCTCTTTATAAAATGAAAAACTTTATATATTGTAACTTTTGGCTCTTCCGTCTCAAAAGATTGCCAATCCCTGGTTTATACAATTTGTTAAATGCTTTTTCTGTTGTTCTAGACTCTATTAAAAATAATTGGCTTTCACTGTAAATTTGTATTAGGTCTAATGTTAAATTTTATTAATTTGAAATATGATTATAATTTAAACGTGTAAACATATACGTGAACCATTGATTCTTTTTTTCTAAAGAGTAATTCTTTGTAATTTTAAACTGGAATTATGTTTCTAAGTTAAAAGTTTACTTTTTTTTTTTATACCTTTTACTTTAGTTCACTTTTTGTTGAGAGCAAGCATTTGTAATTTTAAATGATTATATTCATTTGAAATAAAAATAAAAAATTGTTAAAGTTTTTAAGGTGAGTGTCCTTTCACCCGTTTACTTACGGGATAGGGAAGAAAAAAAAATCACGCGAGGATGCGTAGTTTTCATTCGGACAAATTAAAACTTATACTTCGCATGCCCACGTGATTATTTTAATTTAAAAAAAAAAGAATTAAAAATAATGAAATCAATTGTATTACTAAATACAACTTATGTGTAAAAGCCAAAATAAATTTTAATAATAATAATAATAATAATAACTGAAGCTGTGTTCTTGAGAGTTTCAAGAAAGAATCTAACAACTGTAGATGTTAGATTTTAACAACTGTTTTTCGCTAAACTTCTTAAGTTTATTTTTAAAATCAATTACTGAATTAGCGTTAACAACTTCACTGTCCAAACGATTCCAATTTTCAACTATACGTTTCGCGAAGAAATGATGCCTCGGCAAAAAGCTTTGAACATACTGCCTTCGCAACCTTTGATTGTGTCCTCTAGTTAGCCTACCCAATACTTCTGGTTCACGATGCCAATTGATAGTATCAGTTTTGTTCATGAATTTGTACATTTGGATAAGATCACCTTTTTCCCTTCTATTCGATAGATTTTGTAAGTCCATTTTCTCTAATCTTTGCTCGTAACTGTCTTTCTTTTTTTTGTTGCCAAATTTTGTAGCTTTTTGCTGAATTTTTTCTATTAAGTTTATATCTTTAATAAAATATGGGTTCCACACTTGAAAAGCATATTCTAAGTGTGGCCGAACGAGTGACATATATAACAATTTTGTTGATGTTTCATCTGGAAAGAGGATTGCGTGCTTTAACATACCCAATTTTTGATTCGCCTTACTTACCATTTTTTCAATGTGGTCTTCCCATTTTAAATTGTCTGAAATATAAACACCAAGGTCTCTTTCCAATGACGTTACTATTAGTCCATGTTGAATAATCTCTGTTTCTGTAGCATTATATTTTAAATTATACTTTATTTTCGGATTTTCACGACCAAAATGCATGATTTTACATTTATCTTTATTAAAACTGATAAGCCATCTTTTAGTCCAGTTAAATAAGATGTCAAGATCAAACTGTAGAGAGTTATTTATTTTATTTTTTTCTAGAACTGCAATTATTTTTAAATCGTCTGCATATAGTTTTGCTTTATTATTCAACTTTTTTGTTAAATCATTTATATAAATTATAAAAAGTAAGGGTCCTAAGACCGATTTATTAATAAGAACTCCTAAAAATTTTATGAAATCATTTTTTACAATTATTGTCTCATTTAAAATGAGATGAATAATTTTAAATGGAAGATTTTCTTATTTTAATTTTTTATGAAATTACGTACATTGTACACTGTTTTAACAAACTCTCTACACTGAGAGAGTTTGTTAAAACCATTGATTAACATTCTTTAATGTAAAGTTCACGTCAGAATAAAGTTATTTGACGTCGATATTTCCTACTGCACAATACAGTCACAATTACAGTTTAAACTTTGATTAACAAAAAGTATTTATTTTTTTGAAAGATACAGTACTCCCACGAAAAAAAGTTCTAAAGAATTATCTATAAACTTTTGAAACATAAAGCCTATAGAATTTTTATAGAATTCTATAGAACTTTTATAGAATCTCAGTTAGTTTCTATAAAAATTCCTATAGAACTTTTTTTTCTATAGAAAAAAAAGTTTTATAGCAATTTCTAAAAAAAGTTTTTTTTATAAAGTTTCAAAAATGTATAACTGGGTCATTTTTTTTTAACTTAAACTTTCAGATGGAAGCAGTTTTAATTATATTTATAAATCTCTGAGAAAGATTAGGTATGTGTGTGTGGGGTTGCGGGGAAGGGGGGGCGGGGGGCGGGGGGGGGATAAGAAAGGTGGAAAGGGGAGGAAGGAGGAGCAAGTGGAGGGGTATACAAAATAACTATTAACAGTTGTATTATAACTAATTCTTCTTCAAAAAAATATATAAAAAATATTTCAATACATATTTAGTAATAAATATAAATAAATTAGATAGTAGTAGTAATATTACAAGTTTATTAAATAACGTATGCCATGAAAAAGATGTTAAAGATTTTTTTTCAGACCATTAAACATGAAAGTATGTATGTAGTGCCAAAGCTTGTGGTTTATCTTTTTTTACGTATTTGCTTTATGAGAGCCGTTTTATCTCAGTCTGTAGGGGTTCTAACTAACAATTTAAGTACATTTTTTTTTTTTTAGTAAAGGTACTGTTTCGGTAAAATATTAGACTGAAAAAGCCTGAAAAAGTTTTTTTTACTCCGAACCCTTTCATGACAACATAAAACGTCTTATGTATAAAAGATATTTTTTTACAATAATTTTATTTTAAAAAGTACAGCGTTGCATAAAATATAATTTATTTTAAGTATGTAAAAGAATCTCTTCTTCTCACTCACGTTTTTCTCTCACCTCACTCATTAATATATAATAACATTGCATATATATATATATGTACATAAGAATAAATAAAAACATATTTAAAACATAATTGCATTATTTATGCATAGTAGATTAAACGCTACTGTAAAAAATGAATTTCTTCTTTCTTGCAACTTGAAAATAATGAAACCTAAAATGATAAAAAAAATATTTCTTAATTTTTCAGTTTTTCAGTAACAAAAACAACTTTAATTTGAACTTTATATGATTATAAACATTAAAAAAGTGCATAATCTGTATACTTACTCTTGCATACCTTATATAAATGCAAAAAAAAAAAAAAAAATCTATTAGTCCCAGTAAGCAGCATAATTTCCATACAAACCAAGAGCTAATGGACCACCTACTGTCAAAAGTTTCATTGTAGTTGGTTGATAGCTATGAGCATAGACTGCGTTTGGATAACACTCTGTCTCCCAAAAAAATTCGCGAAATACCGAATCACGCCTCTATGAATAAAAACAAAAGCAATTCCTGAATTCTAATTAATAACAAAAAACATGTATAAAAAAAGAAAAAAAAAGAACATACCAGCCAGCCTCTACCTGCTCTATGGAAAAACGGAACACCATCAACATTCTCCAACATTTTATTTACACGGATATCATAAAATAGTATGGATCCATACCCAGTCCCAATTGTAACAATAGTGTCGTTAAAACTGACTGATCGTACACCTGCGGAAAGTATATGTAAATAACTATTTTTAAAACAACTATAAATCAAATTAATAGAATCTTATAGAATCAATTACAATTTATTTAGTGGTTAATAGTAATCTAAAAATCCTATGGTATATATTAGAACTGTAAATGAAACAAAAACTGCTCGAGTAAACCTTGCACTGTTTAACAAAAAAAAAATACAGCGCAAATGTATTCTGCAACAATATTTCTATCAATTAAATATTATAAGTGTATTGCAATTCGAATACACATCTTTGTAGTTAAATTGTACACAATGTACTTTAGTCCATGAAAAGTTAAAAAGAAAATCTTCCATTTAAAATTATTCAATCTCATTTTAAACAATACACTAATTGCATGTTGTTTTCTCAACTCTTTAACTCCAAAACAAAAACCTTGACAAACAAGGCTGCACAAAGAAACAAAGTGAGCATGATACTACCAGAGATGTGTCACATCCTGTAGTGGGAATCAAACTCGGAACTTCTCGCTTAAAAAGCAAGCACTCTACCACTACACCACTACTGCGTTTATTTTGTTTGACTAAATTATTAACCAGTTTTTTTGCTATGCCTTAATTTTGAATAACTTTTTTTTTCACTGTTTATGGTAAGGCCAAAAGGAACTTTTAGAGATGATACATACAAGTTTGCATGCAGAAAATGTTTAAAAACTTTGTATATGATTCTTAACAAAAATACACTTTATGGGCATGGGCATTTCGACATATCTTTAATATAAGATACACATAAAGGCTATATAAATTCATATTTTGACTTTTAATTAATCTAGAGGGTTAAAATCACAAAACTTAGAAAAAAAAGTTTGAAACTGTGAAAAAGACAAAGCCTAATAACAGGAAAAAAACTAAAAACATTCTTGTTTGCTTTTATTTAGCTTTATTACTTTCTTTTGATAACCAACATAATATGACAACCGAATTTAATAACCAAAAAAAAAAAAAAAAAAAAAAGTACTTAAAAACTAAAATTATTTAAAAATTAAGTACTTAAAATACAAAAATTTCATTAAAAATTTATTAAATTAAAATAATATGTAGAACAAATTTTTTTATTGTTTAGTAAAAATAATAACATAGACTAGATTGAACAAAAATTATTATCTATATCATCATGATTTGTAAAGAGACCAAAGAATCAGCTGAACTCTTAACAACTCATTTAAAAAATAACATTGAAACCAGAAAGTTATATACACTTTTGCAAGGTTGTGTATTGTGATTTGTTGAAATTTAATATAATATAAAAACTGCAACACTATTTTTGTGGTAAAAAATGTATTTCATACAAAGATACAGTCTGACAAAACAGATAAACAAAACAACTTTTTTCTTTTTAAAAAGATATAAGATAACTGGTTACCAGCTCCTTGATCAGTTGAACATAATGAACCAACAGCTCTTGCAGATCTTGTTTCAAGTAAAGAAACATGTGACAAAGAACCAACTGCATACAACAAATTTGTCTTTTCATGTGCTATACATACATTTTCTTTTGAAAAAGGAAGTGAATGACACACAATCTATAATGAGATATAAAATGAGATAAAATAATCATATTTTTTGTTTGAGAAAGGAAGTTTATTACAAAACTACCAAAAAGGTGCTAACCTGAGTAAAATTGTTAACATCCCATATGTGAACAAAACCATTGGATGTAATAGTAGTCAGATTCTAAAAATTAATTTGAAAATTTAGTGAACCTTCAACAGAACTTTCAGGAACATTCTGTTATATAAAATAAATATATCAACATTGTTGTAAATAATTTTAAACATGCAAATATTATAAACTTAATTAAGATGTAATTGAACATCTTGGATATTTCATAAAAATATTAGAAACATAAGATGTAATTGAACATCTTCGACATTTTGTTAGAAAAAGTCAAAAGAAAAATCTGTGTTTTTTTTTAAAATAAAATTTAAGTTAGAAAGGGAAACAATATTTATTCTACAATAAGTTCTAGTAAAGCAAAAAAAAAAAAAAAAAGAATGACACACTACCGTTCATAACTTTTTTTAAAAATGCTATTTTTTATTCAACTATTTTTTATGGTTATTTTTGAACTATTAGATGATTTAAAAGTATTTTGGTTAAGATGCTTTTATAAAAATCATAAGAATAATAAAAATGCTAAAGTGGGCAAAACTACATAAAAAATGATCAATGACTGTAAACATGGACCAACATGTTGATGTTTTAAATCTTTAGTTTCAAAATAATATTGTTTGCCTGGATAAAAAATCTTTGAATTTATGATAAAATAATGTGTATTATTGACTGTAAAACATGGCGGATGTAGTGTTAAGGTGTTTTGGTTAGAACGCCACAGGTGACTGTAAAAATAGAGGGAGTAATGACAAAAGTAGTTTACTTGTACACTTAAAAAATTATACTACATCTTCGAAAAGATCGGTTAATGAGAAGCTATTAATTTTTTCAAAAGAAAATGACTTGAAGTTTAAATCTAAAACATATTTTTCAAAAATTTGTTAAAGTTATTTGACTGAGTTCGAGAACGATCAAATATTCAATAGCCTCCCCAATCACAAGATTGCTCTCCTATCGAACTTTTATGGGTGGAATTAAAAGTAATGTCAAAAACGAATGCCAAATGATGCATAAGATGTGGACAAAACTTATTTGTTAGTCACATAAAATTGACTTCAATAAATTGGATAAGTTGTTAAGTAGAATGCCAAGAATATAATGGCAGTTATTGTTGCTAAGAGTGATTAAAAGGCAAGTAAATTATAAAATTAATATAACAGTCTTTTATTAATTTTTTTGTAAACCTGTTAAAAAAGAAGATAACATATAATTCAGGTAGATTTTGAACTATTGAAAAAAACTATTTTGATCCTTGGGGATAACCTGTACCTACACTTAACTTAATGAACTCTACTTAATAAACACTTGAGCACAATAAATTTAAAACCCAGAAACTTGATCAAAAACATTATTTTGTAAGATTAAGTTTGATTATTTGAAAGATTATTGGTTTGATGAGCTATTTTTAGCTTTTCATCTCTTTCAGTTTAAAAAAAAAATTATATCATTTTTTTTAAACTAAATGTTTTAACAATTTTATATAATCTAGAAAAATATTCTTATATAGGAAAATTGAGATGTTTCAGATTCTGTTTCAACCAGAAACAATTAGTTAATCAACCATTAATTAGGTACTCATAGTACTTTAGAGCTTACTTTTTATCATTTATCATTGAAAATTTATAACTACTCATTTAAAAACATGTTTTATTATTCAGATTGGTCTTTGCGTATAATTTCCAAAAAATGTGGTAAATCTTCAGTTCAAAAAATTTTGGCTGAAAATTTTATACATAGGACCTAAGGGCCTGAAAGAAAATGAAAAACTTCAGAAAAAGAAGATTGATTAATTGCCAGGGAAGTATAAAGTATCTTACAAAGAATTTTAGGATATCAATGATTCAGATAAAGCAAAATTTAAACCTTTAACACTTATGTAACAGTACGATTAATGCTTCATTGTGGCAAGCAAAAAAGCTTTCCATAAACAAAAAAAAACTGTGTTAAAAAATAAATATTTTAACTACACAATGACTCAAAACATACGCCAAGAAAAAATAAATGTTATATGCAATATGCTTAAATTCCTAACTTTATCTGGCCAGCAAAATCACCAGATTTTTATCTAATTGAGAAATTGTGGTCTATATTAGATGTTAAACTCAAAGATATAAAGCCTTGTAATAAAGATTAGTTATTCTTAACATATCAGAATGGGTGGAACACACAGTTACCTTATATACAAAACTGGTTAAAAACAGACTTTTAAATAATGAGTATTTAACAATAAAAATGTAGAAAAGCCATAGATAAATAAAAACCACGACCCCCCACCCCTACACACTCCAGATGGTTATTTTATTATGACATCATCAATTATGTTTTAAGCAAAATTACCCAATAAGTACAAGACATGACATTGTTGAGAGTGACTTTTGTCAATAGATAAAACCAATAACTTTTTAATTACTTTCAAACCAAAATTCACTTATCTTCTATACAGGAAACTGAGGATACAAAAATGGCATAACACACACACACACACACACATATATATATATATATATATATATATATATATATATATATATATATATATATATATATATATATATATATATATATATATACATATATATATATATATATATATATATATATTTATATATATATATATATATATATATATATATATATATATATATATATATATATATATATATATATATATATATATATATATATATATACAGCACTCGAAATAATTATTCAATAATTGCCGATCAACATCGATCGGCTGAAATAAAAAAAAAATAAAAACCAGACGACCAAATCATTTTTTAGACAATCAATTTTTTATTAAATTTTATTAAAATTTAAAATGCATTTTTTTTTTACCTTACATAAGCAAATTGCTTTAAATTAAACTTGTTTATTTAAAACTTAAATAAACATTCATTTTTCCGTATTTCTTTTCCAATGCTTTTTCTTGAGTATAAATAAAACATTGCCATTTTTATTTTAATTATTTTATTAAGAATTTAAATAAGTTGTTTGATATTAAATTAAAATGAATGAAATTTAATATTTTTAACTTTAATTTTTGATCAGTCCAGACCTTCTCTCAAGACTTTTTAAAAAAGGGGTCAAATTTTTGTCAAAAGCTGCAGTTTTTCGTGACATTGAGGGAGGATCAAATGTAAACCTGTATTGCGAAAATTTGAAACAAATGAGTCTAAACTACATATACTCTGCATTTAAAATTATACTTTTTTTTGCTTTGGCCTTATTACTGAGAACTTTTTATTCAAAATCTTAATAAATTTGCAAAATTTGTGCGCGATGCTGTATTGAAAAATCCTTTTTTATATTAATGTATATGAGATTTGGAAAATTAAAAATACTTTATAGTTAAAAATTTGAAAACTTTCTTCTTACTTTTATCATTTACATACTCAAAGGTGAGGTTAGGTTCTTTACCCCCTCTCCATACAAACAGTTTAGCTACACCCACTTCTTTAGCTTTTTAAAAATTGATTAAAATGTTTAAAGTTATTTTTTATAGAATGAAATCAGAACTGAGTTTTAAAGGTAGCTTAAGGTTACAAAAGATACATAACTAAGACAGGAACATTTCTAGTCATTTTTGCTTTTCATGAAACTGATTATGTTCTATAAAATAAGTTCTTCGCATTTTCCAGGTTCAAATGCATTTTCCAGGTTCTCTCATGACATTTTGTCTATTGTTATAAGATTTTATTTTTCATTTTTTTTTCTTCTTCACTAATGTGTCTATGGATAAACTCCTGCGTCAAATCCGCATTTCTTTTTGCGTGATTATTTACAACAACCAATATTTTTGCATGAGCTAAAAACTGGTTGTTTACAGCTGGGGTTGTTTGAGCTGCAGGAGTAGATATAAAATTATCAAATCAAGCTTCTCAACTGCTACTAGAGTGAAAAAAGAAAATAAAGAAATTGCAAATATCGCTAAAGAAAATATAAAAAAAAAGTCCATATATTCCTATTTTGATGTGAAAACTATATTTGAAACAATTAAAGAAAAAAAAATTAAAATGCAAACAACTAGCTGTAATAGTAAACCTCAATGACAAATCGCACTTGTTGGGTGTGCCTTTTTTACTGTCATTTTCAGGTGAAGATCAATTCATGCTTTAAATAAATACGGTGTTTAGTTCATATTATTTTATTAACTTTATTCTTTGTATTTTTTAATATATAAACTTTACATAATAAAAACCACAATATGCATAAATGTGTTTATGGTTTTGTGAGAAGATACCCCAATAAACAAAGATACACAAAGTCCTTGGGTCTCAAGATACCTTGGTACCCAAGGACTTTGTGTATGTACACAACCTGAAATATCCATTAAAGTCAATGACTGAAAATGTTGGGCAACTAAGTATAACTTGTTCCTATTGGCACCCAACATTTTCAGTCATTGACTTTAATGGATATTTCAAGTTGTGTACGTACAAAGTACTTGGGTCCCGTGAAATAGTTTATTTTTTACTTTTAAGTCCATTTTTAAAATGTTGTTTTAAAAAATGTTTTTTATAGATATTTTTTAGTCCGTTTTTTAAAAAAGTTTTTTATATATTTTTTTTATTATTCAACAGAGGTTATATTTCTTTACGTTTAAATAAAACGCTAAAAGTTTGTTGTTTATTGTTTTTTTTATTACTTTTCTTAATGAAATTTTATTCTTAATTTTATTTACGCTAGAGTCTGTTTTGTGTTGTTTGTTTTAATTATTTTTTTTAACAATTTCTTTTATTATTACCGCTGACCTTGTGTTTATATTGCGCAGACATAAAAAAAAATAATAATAAAATAAGCAAACTGACAAGAAACCAAGTTTAATAAAATGTTGTAATAACTTTTCACACCAGATTATTATGTTATAGGAAAAGAAATTTTGAAAAAACAAACATTTCAAGTTAAAAATTTATGCATTAAAGCTTAATCTAATTTTTTTTTTTAATTGATTATTATTATTTTTTTAATGATTAATATTTTTAAAATTTTTTTTGATACTCTGTGTAGTTAAGGCACTTTTAAAATATTATAGCGTCTGTATGATATTTTGCTGATTATGACATATTTCCGTGAAATGGTCTGGTCTGTGAATTATGAAAAGACGAAAAAAATTAAAATAATAAATTTTGCGGTATCATAAAATATAAATGTTTGTAGCGAAAAAACCCAGACAGTGGAATCTTTTTTTTAAAAAAAAATCATCTTAAAATCACAATCGCTCGTCCAAATTTAAATAAGATTTTATATTAATACGTTTTTTAGGTGAAATGAACATTATAGTTTAACAATATGATCTGTTTTGATCGTTTATTGGCAATTATTTATAATTATAAGCTCTTTCTTGGTCGGAATTCCAGTAATTTTTGTGAAAATTGATAGAAGTATTGTGTTTTGACAACTATATATAGTTAATATATGTCAGAACCAATTTGAACTAGAATCAGTAGTAAATTAAGTAACTTTTTAAAAAGATTTTAACTAAATTCATGTTAATGTCGATGAGCGAAATTGATCTAAAGACTCCAAAATAGTGTTCTTTAGATACATTATTACGGGTTGTAAAAAGATTTTAAAAATTATATATAAAAAAGAAAAGTTTCTTTAAATATTATAAAAACCTTAAGCAAAAAAAATTATAACATTTAAAGATCTTGTTTGGGCATAATATGCTGACAAAACCATGCTAATTCCAAATAAAAGTATTCAAATATTTTGTAAATCGCCTTAACTACACTGAGTAACATTAAGGAATTGTTAAATGTTCAAGGGTTTTGAGGTACCCATAAAAACAATTTTTATTCAATAATTTTATTAATTTATAATATTTTATTATGCAGTCACATTTAGGGTTTTTTTTTTAAACCACCCTAATAATAACCACCTTTATATGGTGGTATTGATGAAAAAGGTCAGGTGGAGAGCTGTATTTCTAAGGGTGTGGTGAGTTGGAACTCCATACCTCTTGCTTTTGAAGCAAGCGCTCTACCACCACACCACTACCATATTATCTTCAAAAATACTTTTTACATAGATGTTGATATATTTCTCAAAGATAATCATTAGAAAAAATACCTGCAACTCTTGTTAAGATAAGAAAAAATGCAATGTACAGCACCTCATAAAAAGGGTTGTAAGTCATTGCACGAACTTTGTCTAATGTCTTGTTTCTTTCTATGGTTTTTGCAGGCTTGATGAATGATATTGAAGATTCTGCATTATCCATTTGATCATTGTCTTTTAATACCCAAAATGCCAAGCATTTATCACGTGAACCTTGATAAAAAATTTTCAACAAATTTAAAAATAAAATTTTCAAAAAAGCACATTTAGGTTTGAAAATTTTTTAAATTTTAATCTAAAACAATGGTAAAATTCAAATATATTATTTATGTAGGTAATAAACGAAAATTATTAAATAACACTAGGCAACAAAATTATATAGAAGTTTTGTTTAAAATTTTAAAACTTTTAAATGTTTTGTTAAAATTAAATGAAACTTAAAATTTCGATGTTTCCAGATTATTTTTTGCATGATAAATCTGAAAATCATTTCTAACTATAACAGTTAAATATGCTATATATGGTGTGTTTCAGCTGACCCCAAAGGTAGAAAGCAAAAATACTAAACATAAACATAAACAAACTACAACTAACATTTATTTATATAAAACTTAAAGTCAAATTTAAATGCTTGAACATAAGTTAATATGTAGCTCCTATTTACTTTCAACATCACAAGACCCAACTCAAGATATAGTCCTAATAGACACATGGACAACCATCGCTTTATCCTAATTTCTTTGGTGCTGCTTCTCCATAACCTTATCCTTTATCTTATCTAACAGCTTCTAGATTTGGATAAAAAAAGTCAAAATGAGAATGTCTCCAGCCCAATATGCAATAAATCTAGTTTATCCAGCAAACCTTTGTTATTTTCAATCCTGTTGTTTCCCATAAAATTGAAAAAAACATACTTAAATCCAACCTAGGCTCTTTTCTGTTTTCTGTCTTTTATAATTTTAAAGTTTTTTTTTTACCTTTTTTAGTTTTCTGATGTAAACATTTGTTCTACCTATAATCCAGTAAACATCTAAGTTAAAAATTTGGCATCTTATAGATTGATCTGTACTTCTTGACTATTTGTCCTCTGTGAATCAGTGCCTTGAGAAACTGTTACGTAGTCACCAATGGTCAGACTGATATGAGATAACAATTGTTTGAAATAGTCCCATCAGATTTGAACAGAAGCATAGAGATTTGTTGACAATAAAGTAAAGAACATATAAAGTATATCTTATTTGGTACTTGTTAACTCTTGCAGTTGGATCCAATAGACTTCATCTGGATGCAAGCAGTTCAACACCCACTTTTAGTAGATACAAATCTCTAACTAGATCATCAAGGTCCTGTTAGTTTGAAACGCAAATTTCACTAAATTGCAGAGTTCTATCTTCTTGTTTTTTTAGATAAACATAATCCTTACCTGATATTTCAGTGTTAAAATCTTGATTTCTAGTTGGTTACATTCAAAAATAACATCCATTCAGGCAATTTGCTGTTTTTCTTTAAATTCTGGATGCTGCAAATTGACATTTTTTTCTTGGTACCTCTTAACCATCCTTCTAAAGATGATTTGCAACAAATAACATGATTAGCTAAATAACTAAAAAATGATAATTCACTTTGTACCCATTAAAATTTCACATTTCATTTGAGCAGGTACAATTCATCAAACCTAGCAGAATAAGTAAACATCCACAAACCTATCAGAAATAGTTTGCAGATAATCTAAAATGTCTAAAAGTTATTATAATAAACAATGCAATAATTTTTTAGTTACATGATTAACTAACTAAACACCTAATCACTATATATAATTAACTAACTAAACACCTTAAGTAACATGAAAATAAACATCACCATTAAAATTGCTATAGTCGAGAAATAAAAAAAAATTACATGATAGACTAAAACAAACTTTTGTTGCCTTGTGTAATTATGTTATAAACATCTACTTTTAATATTAGGGGAGAGCAGGTAGGATTCGTACACTTTTTACTCAAAGTCATTTTAAAGCAAAATTAATAGCGATTTTAAAAAACTTTCAATGCTGATGAATTATCTAGATATCTGGCTTCAATAATTTTTAAGGTCAGTATTGGTACAAAGTAAAATGGCAAAGCTATAATGATTCTCCCAGAAAATGGAAATTGTACGAAAGCACCCCACGCGCAGGGTAGCTTCGTACATAGAGTAGGGCACATTCGTACATAACTGTTTATAGGAAAATGAGCATTTATAACGATTAAAATTGAAACAGAATAAACTTTTAAATTATTAATAATCAACAATATATTATTTTACAAATATCCTTTTACATAACGGATCTACTATTGCCCATTATGCATTGTAAAAATTTTTTTTAATATAAATATATTGGCTGTTCTTGCTGTAGAAGCACATTTGAGTGGCGGCAACACATACCACGTCTGATAAGTAAACCATCCCTTCATCTTTGTTATTAGAAAAAACAGATTTCCAAGTACTCGGCTTCTTTCTCAGAAATGAAACTTTGTATTCCATGGGGTTGTACCATGGGGTTGTTCCATGGGGTTGTACCATGGGGTTGTTCCATGGGGTTGTACCATGGGGTTGTACCATGGGGTTGTTCCATGGGGTTGTACCATGGGGTTGTACCATGGGGTTGTACCATGGGGTTGTACCTGGTTACAACCTGTCCAATATAATGTAAAACGGTCTTTTTCTTATCAAATTTCACTAACACAAAAGTTTTTCCTACAATATTTTCCTGTTTAACCGGAAATTCAGTCTCAATATCAGATGAAGAATTTGTCATCTCTCCAAAGGGTGAACAAGAACTTTCACTTAAACTTATATCAGTTTCATCTTCGCTATCAGTCTCTATTGTTTTTATCTGTTTCTTTGATTTTTATATTTATGTCTGTTGGCAAATTTAATGCACGTTTCAACTCCTCATCCTTTTTTTTTCTCTCTCTTGCTCTTGTTTCTTCGTCTTTTTTGAACTTTCTAATTCTAGCAGTCTGTTTTTTTCGGGAGTATTTGTATATATCCTTGATTTTCCTGATGGTTTTTCTTTCTTCTTTTTTTTAGGTTCGTTCCTGTTCGTATAATATAATTTTGTATAATGTAATTCCCCTAAATGTTACTAGTTCTCCCCTTTCAGCCGAAACAAGCTGACCAATTTGTTTTAGGTTTTTTTGTATCAACACTTTTGGCATAGTCATCACTGTAGATACCCCTGACTCATCAAAATTATAAATTCTATCTGCAAGCAATTAATATTTTCTCAAAATCTTTTCTAGGTTTGCATAGAAATCAGTAACAGCTGTCTTGTTGAATCCAAAAGAATATGCTACACTGGTACAGGCTTCCTTAGACTTAAATTTGCATTATGTCTACGGTAACTGTCAAGCCATTCTTTTCCAGCCATTTTGTTATGATTCCAGCTAGGTGGATATTTTAGTTGATTTACATTAGGATATTCGTATGCCAGTCTTTGAACTTGTACCATTGTCAACCCATAATGCATTTTAGAACATTTCACTATGTATTTGCTCAATAGAGTCTCTTCTTTAGGAGTAAACACTTGGTTCGATGTAAACTTTTTAAACACACGCGACAGAGTATTGTTAGCAGCTTTTTTATTGGAGTTAATTAGGCGACTTTGAAGTGATGTTGGTTCTACGCCATATTTTTGTGCGGACTTCCTAAAAGATAAAGTTTTATGTAAAGCATCGTTCATCGCAGACTTCATTGCTTCTTTGTCTACCTCTTTCGCTCTAGTCTCTTTTTTATGTATATTCGCAGCATTATCGTAAAATAATAATAATGTTATGAAACAAATTTTCCCAATTCTTTGGGGAGGATTCGTACACTACGAATCCTCCCCACGAATAACTTACAAATATACCCCAAACAAAAAAATAAACATATAAACTCAAAATAAAAATAACAGTTAAGGTTAGCACAAAAGTTGATTTTTACATATTAATTTAAGGCATTTATTTAACAACATAATAAATCATATCAACAACTTTAGAAAGATATATTACAAATATATGTTTTCAAAGATAGTTAGTAAAATTACTTTTGTTGTGCAAAAATGCTTATTGACTTGCCCCGATGAAGGTAAATGATGCACTGCTACGGCATATAGCATTTTTTATTTAAACATAAGCGGTCCTTACGCACACAATAGCACAAACTTGTCAACACCTAAAATTTGGTAAATATGACCACTGTACGAATACTTCTGGTGTACGAATCCTACCTGCTCTCCCCTACCACATTATTTTTAAAATTTTTATTATTCTTCTTCATATTATTTTTATTATTATTATTCCTATCATTATACAATTAAAACTATTTCAAATTTTCTAATTATAACTATTACAAACTTAAAAGAAAAGTAGAGAAAAGTCTCAAGTTGTTAAAAGTATTACATGTCAATTTTGTTAACTAAAAAATCAATTTTTTTGTAAAAAAATAAAAATAAAATTTTTTTACTTATTGCAATAACATCATACCTGTTGCAATAACATCATCAGCTATCCATGAAGATGTAAATAACCAGTCTGTGTGAAACTAAAATATATAGCAGTCAATGATTCATGCTATTATAAATAGAAATTATAAGCAGTAAAATAAACTGTAAAGTTTATTTTACAGCCTAATAAGGACAAATAAAATTTCCAAATATCATTTTTGTGCTTTTAATGTCAAAATGTCCACTTCAATTTTTCAGAAAAACAAGAAAAAAAGAAAGAATAATAAAAGAAAAGATGGCTACCCCATACCAAACCGTCAGTAGCACTCCTTTGTGGGAGCAGGCTATAAGACAGTCGATGCATATATACAGAACCCGAAGTGATGAAAAAAAAGTAATGAGATGGCATTCGGTAAATTAAAAATACCATCCTGCCTATTATATATATTATATATATAGATTTATAAAAAGGTCACAGAATGGCATCCCACAGCATCCTGCCTCACTTCGAGCACTTTATATATATATATATATATATATATATATATATATATATATATATATATATATATATATATATATATATATATATATATATATATATATATATAAATGCAGGCCTTGGTGGGAGTAAATAGGCACGAGAGCAGACAAAAGCTCTCCTAAAACAATTATGGCGAGCCATAGGAGCTGCTTCTCAAAACAGCTTCTTATGAGAGCTTTTGGTTTTTGTGCAAGCTATCTGTTTATTCATTTAAAAAATTGCTAATTAAAAACAACATTTTTATACTTGTTACAAGCATATGATTGTAATGTTGATATTACAAGACTATATACATAACAAGTGTCATTTATTGACACTTGTTATGTATATTACAAGTTGTTATGTATATAATTATTATGTTTATTGTGATTTGAAAAAATTTTTTAGACAAGCATTGCCTTTGGGTTTTCACATTAGCTATCCATTTATTTATTAACAATATTACTTATTTGATAAAAAATTTGACAAAGAGCTATAAAAGTTTTATGAAAAATCCTTTTTTTATTCTTCTTTTTTATTCAAAATGTAATAGAATGCAGGCAATTTAAGAACTATTATAACAATATAAAATCCAAAATAAAAGTAAATAATATATTTAAGAATTAATATATAAAATTTACAATTCATGACATAAAATAAAAATTATTTTGCAACAATTTAGAGTTTAATAACTTTATATTTATCAGTTAGTCCAATCTAATGAAAAACTTAATGCTCTTAAACCTGTGCTCTTTTTAATTTATTTTTTTTTTACAAAAATCGTGCCTTTTAAAAAGAATTGCAGTTTTTTATGCAATTTTTTCATAAAAACGACTTTGTGCTTTTCATTTAAGTTCAATGATAATTAATGACAGTTAATGCAAAACTAAAGTTTTTTTTATAAATTCTTAATAAAATAACAATGAGAAAATGAATGTTTCAATTAAATTTTAAATTATATATATAAATTAAAAAAAAACAAAAAAAAAAACACTTTTTTTAAAATTCTAAAGTAAATATAAAGACAAAACGAACGTTCTTTTTAAAATCTAAATACAAATAATTTAAGTTGTAAAACAAACCAATTCAATTTAAAACAGAAAAACAAATTCTAAATAAAATAATTTTAAAAAATCAGCAATATATTTGTTTGTTTTTCAAGTTTTTAAGCAAACATCAACATTAAAAAAAAAAAAAATCAGCAAACAGGGCATTTGTTTTTCTGTCAATTTTGTGCTAATTGTTGGGATGTTTGTGGATTTTCAAACTCAGTTTAAAATTTTTTTGCAGCTCAAAAACTGTTTTAGGTCGTCAATTTTTTGCTGACTTTAACTTTTCTAATTCTAAGGGCTGTATATATGTGTGTATATATAGCCCCCTAACACTCCAGGAAAAGTATATATTGCCCTAGCAGAAAGTGAATGAAAGAAATTAACTATAATAGTAGCAAATTAACCTGATCAATAATTAAACAAGTCCCCGCTTACAGCAATGTAACAAAAAAATGCTTGCTTTGCCTTCATGAAAAACTTTGCATAATATCATACAAAGGTATACAAGAAAAAATAGAAATATTATCTAAGTGCTGTCACGAAAACAAGTTCTTGCTTGACAACCATGAGCCCAAAAATTAATAAACCAAACCACCTTTGCAAATAGTAACAGTTTTATAATTGTTTTTGAACGTCACAATGTTTATTAAGAGTATATTTTTTAACAAAAAAAAAACAATGTATTTTTACCTGATGCTTGCTAAGCGCATGAAACTTTTAGTAGTAAAAAATTATGTAGACATTTTTATTTAATCTTGTCAAAAAATCAATTATATATATATATATATATATATATATATATATATATATATATATATATATATATATATATATATATATATATATATATATATATATATATATATATATATATATATATGTATATATATATATATATATATATATAAATTAAAAAAATTATCTTTTCACAATCTATATTTAATAGGAGTTTTTTCAGTTTTCAGGAGAAAAAACAAAAAATAATCACAAAACTTAGAAAGTGACAGAAAAAAGACAAAGAGTCTCTCAGCTGATGTTGGAGTATAGAATAGAAATTACAAAAAGGAAACAAAGAGCAAAAGCAAAAACAAAATCTAAAAAAAAGTACTGATGGAAGAGTTAACACAAGTAACATGGAAGAACAGAAAAAAAAGGCTACATTAAAATAAAAAAAGATTTTACACTTGAACTTAAAATGCTCACAAAATTGAATAACAAAACAATTCCTTCAAACTCCAGTGTTATTATATTATAATTAACAATCAAAAAAATCCAGTACTTCTAATAATGTAAAAAATTTAATTCAACTAGGAAACATAATAAACTTTTACCTAAACAGTCAAAATAAAACCCTGAAAGGAAAAATTAAAAATTAATCTGATGAAAAATGGCAGATATTAAGAGAAATTTTTCCTGACCAAATGTTATTTCTTTAAAATTTTCAATTGGTATATTACACTTTTAGTATTCTTACAGTTAGGTTACAAAGGGAAAATGTTTATACATGACTTGTTTCAATCCAGAGTTAAAGATTAAAGCAATAAAATGAAAACGTCATGAGTTGCATGCAACACCCAATATTATAAAAAAATAGCAGATTCAAAAATGACATTTAAGAAATACACCCATGAAAACAACAAAAAAAAAACATACACCCATGAAAACAAAGATATTTAGAAAAGGCCAAAAAGAGTACTTTAAATACAACTTATTTTTTAATAAGTTGTACCGTACAATCTATGTATGAAGAACTTTTATAAGGAAAGATATTTTTTTGTTTTATTTTTATTTTCTGAAAAAACTGTTTGGATTGAAGTTGGCATAACAAAAATAAATTGCAATATAAATTATATAATTTTTTCCCTTAATTTCTTGAGAATGTCGTTGTCACTAATTTTTATACAAAATCTATTAAATAAACAATTTTAATTTTTCTAGAATAAGTAACCCTCATTTTCTTAATGTTAACTGAAACTACTTGTATATGTAAGAGGTTACTCAGAACAATCTAGACAATAAATACATGATAAAAATCAACTATTGAAGATGACTGATCCAGATTAAGCATGTTTAGTGCACATCAAAATATATAGCACCAACTAGAAATGTTTGGCCAAGGCATCTGTAATAATATAGTTTTCTTAAACTGACTTATCGTAACTTTTGTTTTTAACTGTTGTAAATTAATATTAGATTTAGTTTATTAAAAGAAACTAAATATTCGTAACTAAAGGTTAAACATAGCATGTTTTGTTTACACTCTTCACAAACTTAAATTTAAAAACATCCACATCATTAAACAGTATTTGGAAACATTTTTTTAAAGTTTATTTGTACATAATAACTCAACCAATGAACACAAACCTCTCCAACAGCAATTGGCTCGATACCAG